TTCACAGAAGGAAGATCGGCAACGGCCACACAGCGTGGCCCGCGTGACGAGGACGGTGTTCAGGGTGAGGCGGTGACACCTGGACCGAGCCCTGAGGGGCCACCGCTCAAGGCGGGCTGGATGGCTGGATGCAGCGTCCCAGCCAGTGGCCCTGGGAGGCCTGCCTGGGGCCCGTCTGCCCGGTGGGCCCTGGCCTGGCCAGGGAACCCGACCTCCTGACTGGACCTCTCCTGTCCCCTCGCCCGAGAACAGACGCCTCACCTGCTCATTGTTCACGTGGCGGTGGGGCCAGCATCCGGCTTTTAGAGCCCTGCGGGATGTGGCATTGGGGCGTGGCCGGAGCCATGGCCTCCCTGGGTGTGCCCTCTCTCTGCCCACCGAGGCAGGGCCAGAGCCACGGTGCTGGGGCTGGGCGCCAGGCCCCACTCCCCACCCTGCCAGCTAGGCCCGGCGGCTGGGGGCTGGGTGGCCTGGTGCCGGCAGGCACGGTTGGAGCAGGTTGGGTTCTGGGCCCACCTCGCCTCCTGTGCCCCGAGACTCCGGCCTGGACACTAGACACTGAGACACTGACTCAGTTTCCCTTTTGTAACATAGGTTAATAGTGAGACCGACCTCATGGGGTCACGGCGGGGGCAGGTGATTGGCCAGAGACTCTGTAGCCAACTCATGGGTGGCCTGCACTCGCTGGAAGCCCTTATGGCAATGTGGCACATTTGGGTCGACGCGGACGGGGAAGACACAGGGGCCATGGGGAGGGGCCTCACAAAGCCACAGTGAGGGAGGGGAGACCCTCTCCTCGAAACCAGGCTCGCGACTGTCTCCCACCCTGTGGGAGGGGTCTGGGACTCACAAGGTGTGTTAGAGTTTCCAGGGAAACAGAACTGATGGTGTGTGTGTGTGGGGGGGGTTACTTTAAGTAACTGGCTCACACGATTGTGGGGGCTTCCAGCCTGAGGTCTGCAGGGCAGGTGCTGCTGGAGACGTGGGAGAGAGAGGGTGGTGCCACGGCTGGAGACCCCTGCAGGCCGCCTAGGGGCACATGACCTGCTTTGAGGGGTCTGCAGTTTTTCTCTCAAGGCCCTCGACTGATTGGGTGAGACCCACCGCCCTACAGAGGTCATCTGCTCGTGTCTGAGAAGCACCTTCGCCACAGCGTCGAGGCCAGCACTGAGCCCAGGGCGGAGTGCCACGGCCCAGCCAAGGTGGCACATCGCAGACCATCGAGCCAGGTGCCTGAGGACGTGGGTGCCAGCACGTGCCTGCCGCCTTCAGCCACCCCCCAGGGGTGTGGGACTTCCTCTCCCCCACCAGCCTCCTTCTTCCCCTTTCTCTCCCCGCTCCTGCCCTTCCTGGTGAGTCAGGCTGTGGACACAGGGCCGTGGGACCATCCATGTCAGAAGCCCTTGTGACGTCTTTGCGGCCTCCTCCCTGGGGCAGGACTGTAAATTCTGTGCTGTCCTTGGCAACATGTCTTGTCTGGGTAAACATGCTGGGTGTGGGTTGGGTGGGGAGGCCGTGGGGCCATCCCCAACTCCGTGGGGGTCTGTGCTGTAGGTGGCCCCCGTCACCGGATCTGAGCCGAGGCCTGAGGCTGCCAGCCCGATGTGGGGTGGACGTCGGCCCTGGTTCCACAGCTTGGCCTGCGCCTGACTGTCACTGTCCTCATGGCTGTCCCGTCCTTTTTACAGAATGTGGCACCAACTGGCCATTTCCTTAGAGTGGTCAAAGCCTCCATGCTCCCCTTCCACCATGGCCCCTTGAGCTCCTGGGAAAGCCACAGGTGGTGGTGGGTCCCCTGGGGTGACAGTGGCCCCAGCTCCCACATGTAGGGGAGAGACATGGCCAGGTGACGGCCATGGCCTTTGCGTGTTACTCTGAGGACGCCAGTGTCCAGAGCACCATGGCGGCTGTGGCCCAATGGGCATTTCTGGTTTATTCTTATCCTGTAGCAGAGCATGGGCCACCCACCTTGGGCACGAAGCCTTGGTCTCTGTCCCTCCACTGTCCAGGAACGTGGGTCTGAGACACTCTCGTTTGGGGTGACTCCGGCCGCCCCGGCCTGATGGTCCTCAGGGCTGGTTCCCTCTCCATGCACAAGGGCACGGGGGCCCACCAGGGACTTGACCATGGGCCAACAGGGGGTTTAGGGTCCCACCAGAGGGGACCCAGAGAGGACCTCCTCCGACGAGGGAGGGCCCAGCTCTCAGACCCGGGAGGACCCCTGCTCTCAGACCCTGGAGACCCAGTCCCAGATCTCAGGGTGGGAGAGGCTGTGCAAGGTGTCTTGTATTTGCCCAGGGTTCCCTGGTCCCCACCAGGGCACAGAGAACGTAGGAAAACCACTTCCCTTGGCCCCCTGGGGACGCGTCAGGGGGGAAGTGCAGGGCCGGTCTTTCTGGGTTTCCCCAGGGCTGGATGCCAGCACCAGAAGCCTGCACTGGGAGGGGAACAATGGTCTGGCTCTCCCCGATGGCTCGGGTTTCCTAATCCCTGCTCCTCCCGGCTGGGGCCACACTCAGCCTCCCCATGTGCCGGGTCCTGGCAGGGAGGGCAGAGCCTGGCTGGGGAAGGCAGGCACAGCAGGGGGCCGGAGGGGCTTCCTTCCGGGCTGGCTCCTGGTCCCCTGTCCCTCATGCCCTTGCAGGGCGAGGACCCCCCCTTTGGCCCTGGGTCTGTTGCTGTGGTCCTGTCCGCAGTGGCCCAAGGCCTGTGCGGGGCATGGCATTGGCACACAGGGCTCGGACACAGCCGGTGGGGAGGCCCACGAGGCCCCGGCGGGGCCTGGCCAAGCAAGGGGTCCGTCTCCAGCCGGTCCCTTCCTTTGGTCAGGTCAGGGGCTCGGTGCCCAGCCCAGAGCCTCCGTGACGGTCGGGATGACTCCCCACTCGCCCCTGGCCCTCGGGGACCAGACTGGAATCTGTGGCTTCCCTGTGAGCTGAGTCTGCAGTCTGCCCTCTGGCCAAGGACCACGTGGATTCAGCATTTCTCTGCTTTCAAAAGGAGAAAAATGGGGGGCCCCCAGCCTCAGTTTACCCACAGATGACACGGTGAGAGCCCGCCTGTGTCCTCCTGGGCCCCAAGCCCTGCTGTGCCTGGTGGTCTCGGGCCTTGGGGATAGCACGAGCTCAAGTGCCACAACTCCCCCGGGCTTTTCCAGATGGCTGTTGGGAGCGGCTCTAGGCCCAGCTTGGCAAGTCTGATTCATCGGAGGCTGCAGTCGCCCCCTGCGGGGTGCAACCCCCTCCCTGAGTGAAAGGCGTAGCCCAGGAGCACCCAGGCAGGCCAAGACCCCCAGCCCCGGACCCGTGGTCCCCACGCAGACCCCAGGAGAAGCAGAAGGCCGCTCCCAGCCGCAAACTAGCCCCCCAGACCCCCCTCCGTTCCCCCAGTCAGTACGGCATCCCCTGGCTGGACAGGTGCTCCCCCGGTTCTCATTACAGGTAATTCCAGAGACGGGCTCAGCCTGGGAAAAGGAGGGGATTAGAGGGTGGCTGGGGCCTCTGTCAGAGCTCGGTGAGCCAGGCTGGGAGCCCACATGTGAGTCAGGGCCCTGGACCCCACAGGAGTTCACGCCCTCCCTGCCCGCGGGAGTTCTCCGGCTGGGTCACGCCAGAGCCGGGTCCCTGGTGGGGGAGCGTTGGGTCCCCGCAGGGTGACATGAGCACGGGGGTCCTCAGAACGGGAGGAAGCCTGCCCAGGAGCGCCGCCTTGACTCGGGCTCTGCTGGGGTGCTGGACCGGGGTTTGGGGTCTGTGGAGGGTCCAGAGCCTGCCAGGACAGGCTTCCTGCAGGAGCCTCCCCTCACCCTCCCCCGGCCACCTTGGGACAGGTCCCCTGGGAGCCAGTGGGGACAGGAGGCTTCTCAGGGCGTGTGCGGGCATTGGGGTTCTGGGCCGCACGCTCCCCGAGGCCGAGTTTACCCAGGGAGCCGTAAAGAGATAAACTCAGATAACCTGAGTCAATATTTCCCCACTGAGGCTTGGGGGCCCCACAGCTGTTTTCTGGATAACTCGGCAAATGCCCTACCCACCCCTCGCCCCTCCCTTGACTCCCGTCCTCAGGCCAGGGCATATAAGGCCGGGACCCCTGCCCCCGGTCGCAACCCACAGCGCCCTCCGAGC